CCAGGTAACGGAGCTGCTCCAGACAATACAAACAATAAGTTAAAAAGAAGGAAACAGCAGAGCATGAGATTATAATGTAGAAAGAGTTTTAAAAAATAACTACTTTGAATCTGAGCTGTGTTGTACAACTTACAGGAGATGTCAGGTACAGCTTGCTCAGATATGTGAGGCCGGTGGTCCTCTTCAAATCTGCTGTCTGATAGACTGTCCCCCTGTAACCTAGAGACAACATGAAACACATACACACCACTGTACACATTGGCAGCGCTTTTAAATAATCTCTCAAATCAACACTGAAACGCATGTTTGGAAACTGAATACTAGATAACAAAAAGACTATATCTATAAGTCTCTATCATGCTGCAGTGATGAGAGAGAGGAGGAAGTGTTTCTGCAAAATTTGGGATGGCACCAAGAAATTATGAAAGTGGGGGTCAGTTTTGGGGCACAAGCCCTATGTACTCATTCCTGAAATAGTTTTTATTTTACATGAAGCCATAACAATGCACTTACGGAGCACAAAGCAATATAATACAACACAATACAATTGTTTCAAAATCAAACTGTTCTAAGCCCCTGTAGCGTTTACTCAGAGATATTTGTTTGGACTGAAACTATAGCAACTCTGAGAGTATCAGCTATCTCCTTAAGGTACTACAAGACTGAAGTTTTCCTGAGATAGAAACGCATACTATGGGTGACAATTATTTTTTTCTGAAGCACATTTAAATCATACCACATATTATATGTAATTACACACTAGGTCCAAATTTTTTTGCTACACACTATTACTATGTCATCAGTGCAACCATTAGCTGAAGGCAAAACAAAGACAAATGGTCTTTATAAGACCATTAAACATCACCCGGGATGGCCATCACAAAGACATCCCAGTCGCTGAACAAAAGCTGCTCATCGCCACAAGCCCTAACTACCATTCCCCTCAGTACATTCCTGATATGAAAGCAATTCATTTAATAAGAACTACAAGCCCAAATGAGGTTTGTGGAGATCTATCCATTTCCTTAGACCGCACCACCAGCTCCTCCAGACTATGCCCAAGATCTGGGATGTGTTTGCACACAGGAGGTTTTGTGGCAGGAGCAATCAGCCATAAAAGAACTGATTGGGTTCTTGTAGGAGGCGGATGAAATGCTGATGTGACCACAGTTATAGCCCAAGAGACAGAGACAAGGCCACAAGCAGGCCACACACATAAATTTACACTTCAGCCAGTAGAGAGCCAGTGGAAGTAGAATTTCCTGACCTGCCACTGCTAGTTAGGAGCCACACAGAATAACTGGACTCTTTGGTGGTGTGGACAAAAAGGAAGGACGACAAAGGCTTGGCTTTGGGTAGTACATGGTAGAACCAAGTGGCTTAGCCTTGTTTCACCATTTAGGGACCTAGAATGAATGAATACAGTATACATGCTTTCCAGCAAAAGTGCGATTCACAGAATAATGGACCTTACTGAGCCATAGAAGCTTGTACTGTATGCAGGAAAACAGGAGATGGATTCTAATGTGTTTGCCACAGGGGTGATGGCTAAGGGAGGAATGCTTGTGCAGCTTGGGTCAGTGTGTTCACAAATGCAGGTAGAACCAAGCAACCATTTCTTAATCTTTGTGAGAGCAATAAAATATATGAAAAAAATAACTGTAAACTATAATTAGTATCTTACCGTTTCAGTTTACATGCATGTCTATCCAGACTCATAATGTAGGCAGTGAAGATTTTGAAGGGGTTTATTAAAAGATATTAAGTGTAATTAATTTTAAGAAATTCCCCCAAAGATTTCTTGAGATATCACAAGAACAGACAGGGCTGAGGTCACAGTGACCTTTGACTACCAAGATCTCATCAGGTCATCCTTGAGTCCAACTGGACGTTTATGCAACATTTAAAGAAATTCCCTCAAGGTGTCCCTGAGATACCGCATTCCTGAGAATGAGCTGGACAGAAGACCTAAAACATAACGCCCTCAGCTACGTCTAAGCATAAAAATAACTTTAAAACTTCAACCTGAGGTCAGGGTCACATCTGTACAGTCTGCAGGTGTGAAGGACAAGGGCATTAGCTGCCACATATGTTAGTCTTTGGAGTAGAAGTTAAAAGGTTGGCCCCATATTGAGTCATGGTTGAAAGGTGTTTGTGGGAATCCCAAGACAGACTGCTAATGCACACTATGTTTGTCACTATGTTGTGTTCATAGCAATGCATGTAAGCATGAACATGTTTTATGTTTTTTTATGTGGATTCATGAATATTTTGAGTGCATCTCCCTTTATCAACAACTCTAGCACAACCCCTGATTTCAGAATTTGGTCTCCAGAATAGCACAAAAGGCATACTGCTTACTGATATAGTATGTTTATAATTCTTAAATTCACCAAACATGTGAAAAAAATTATGAATGAGCAGGCTCCCATCGCCGGTGGAACTTTGGAAGGGTTTTACTGTCCGGTTAAAGAGGACGAAACAAGAATTTGGCCTGAGCCAGAAGACAGAGAAGGAGAGCAGATGCCTGATATTTTAGTTTTTGAAAAAAAAAAAAAAACACCACTCCAGATACAGATGTTGCTATGCTTTGCCACTGATCCAACCAGGAGACTCGGTAATAAGCCAAAGATATAAACTATTTGCTTAAAAACATTCAGTCCATAAACTGAGACCATTCACCCTCCTCGAAACCTTTGACAACATCCCACAGCCTATTTGAAACTGATAAGCAGTGTGCGTGAAAGAAGAGTAGGAAACAAACAAATTCCAACCCCCAAACAGAGGAGGCCATGCAGGCAGATGTGTGCCTGGCGTCTCACTGAACACATATCTTTGACTGGCATCGAGGAAGAGTCCTGCCCACACCTGCCTGCAGCATCATGCCCAACACTAAGGAACCTGAGCACTAGACTGATGTTGTGAATCAGGGAACAGGAAATGTGTCAGAAGAGAAAACCAGCAATAAAAAGAGAGAGGGTGACAGTGGAGACAATGATCCATGCTAGAGCTGTGAAAACAAGCAAAACACCAGAATGCACTTTAGATGTGATATTATTTTGCGTTCTGGATGGTGAAATATGCTACCTGTGACATCAGTGCAAAGAGGGTGAGGTGGTGAGGTGGAGAGTGGAGGGTGGAGGGTTGGGCACAGGGAGATGTCATGAGCTGGAGTAAGAGCAAGGTTGGATGTTAGAATATAAAAACAAGATTATAGTATAGCCACAACTTTACTGTAGCTAAAATATCTTCATGTCATGTAGTCTTAAAGCAATAGTTTGAGCCTTTTGAAAATATTCTTACTTGTTCTGTTGCTAAGAGCTAGATGAGAAGATTGATGCCACTTTTATGTACAGTATGTATGGTGTCTGTATGGTAGATACGAAGCTACAGCCAGCAGCCTGTTAGCCTAAATTAGCATAAAGAGTATAGAAGCACAACCAAACAGCTCCAGAGGTTAAAGAATGCACCTAACAGCACTTCCAAAGTTCAACCAGTCAAATTCATGGGAATAGGACAGATGTGAGGTCACTGTGACCTTGACCTTTGACAACCAAAATCTAATCAGGTCATCCCAGAGTGGACGTTTGTGCCAAACTTGAAGAAACTCTCTCAAGGCGTTCCTGAGATATCACAAAAATCAGACGAATGTGAGAACACAGTGACGAACAACATGAAAATACAGCTAGAGCTATTGCCAGCATGGGGTCAGAGTTTCACATGTGGGTTATGTATCGTACAGAGTACAGTCTCTCTCAAAAGCACCAGATGAGAAAGGCTAGAAATATTTACCTGGCACACCTAGAGCAGATGTTGAGTGTAACTTTGGCCTGCGGTTCAAGCTGATAGGAGCTACGTCCCTGGCTGAACTTACTGCCGGACGGAGCCAAGCCTGTCACGCCCTCCATCCGCAGGTCATCCAGGTCCTCTGATGGGGAGAGAACCAAAAAGACACGAGGAAAGAAGGAGGAAGGAGAAGGAAACCATTGAAAAGGGAGAAAAAAGGGAGAGAGTGAAAGGACAGTCATTAATCATACTTAGACCTCCCCTTGTCAGTACGATGCCCAGCGACGACATTCTGCGTGGAGCCAAAGAGCAACCAAACGCGTCATTGTAAATAAACACTTTCAGCCTGGCCCTGCTGCTGTGCTTGCTCACATGCACTGCATACACACTAAAACCACAGCAACCACAAAAAACTTTTGAAGGTTAAAAATTTCACATTATCAACACAAAACTCTGTTAGAGGGAGTCATGAGGAAGAGTCAATGACAGTGACACATCGTGGCAGCCACAAACAGGAAGGGTACATTAACAAGTTGTGGGCAATGTGGGCAAAAAACATGGTGAGGGAGAATGAGGGGAGATGGAGAGCTGGAAAGCTGAGTTTCGTTTGGTCTCTCCCTTTATCGTCACATATGCACACATACTGTAGACACTCTTCCCTATGGATCTACAGAAGTCCATGACCTGTGCTAGCTACAGATTAGCAAAGGTGCAGAGGTCCTTCTTACTTTTTTCCTTAGGTTCAATTGTATTCCCAACGAGATAAAACATTTAGAATGTTGTGTCATAAGAATAAATAGATGGTTGGGCGTGTAGACTCTTAAGTGTGCTGGTTAAGCTTTATAAACACATTCTGAATCACAAACTATTTTGATTGGTTACCACAACAATATTTGTCCCATTCTTCCCATCAGACCAGAAGAATTCAGGATCTTTGCCAGTGAGAGGGGTTGCCTTCAGGACATACAGTATATTCTTGCTTCAAGTTACCATTGTTTTTGTACATACAGTATGTGTGTGTGTGTCTAGTTATTTGAAACCAACACTGATACTTTTCACTTTGGAATCACATTATCTAAATCCTGGTTTGGGGGCAAAAACATAGGACTCACACCTTGAAACAGGAGAATGCGTGACTAATCACCTGGATTCGATTGGATTGGGTGACACTCGCTCATGAGAACTCTCACCATCCATCCATCAGTGTGGAGCAGAGCTAGAAAATCTCACGTCTCCTTTGGGTGTCAGAAAGTCATTCTTCAATTTAATCCACTATTTTGCAACTCCATCCTAACCAGCTACATTAAGGAGCCTTTTGTTTATAAATTCTTAGCTTAGTCATTTCACAGACCACAATGCACAAGCAACAATAGCAAGAATAGATGCACATGCAGTCTGAATTTTTACACTATTGTTTTTTTTAGGTATGCTAGTGGCACAGCAATGTCAATTTGCTTGTCTGTTTGCTTGTCCGATGGGTAGATTGCTAATAAATTTTGAAACACAGCTGTTAACAATGGAACAATGCTGTCCTCGCTGACAGACTACTGTGCTTTGAATGAAATGTAGCTGCCTGCTAACAGAGCTATCTTGGTCAGATAACAAATATTCACATCTCCAGAAATGATAACAGCTTTGAGCCTGGCTCAAAGTCTGCCATCAGGCTCTCATACAGCTGTCATTGAATAGAGTAGATCTTTCCCCAGCTGTGGGGAAAAGCCATCGCTTCAGTTGGCTCCTTCAGTCCCTGTCTCACACAACAGGGGGTGTACTGAGTGACAGCATTCAGTTTCCATTGACAGCAAACAGGCAGCTGTCACTAACCCAACCATTTGTCTTTGTATGCGCTTGAAGTGCTCAGCAGCACAGCCACACACTTTGGCCACAAGGGGGCTTACATACAGTCAGCAGCCTTTCCAGCTCTTACAATGGTTAATAATCTTTTAAAAGAATCCTGTATTCAAATTATGATATGGATGAGGATCAAAATCTAATCAATTCTTCTCTCCAAAAAAATGTATCCAGTTCTGCTATTAACAATCAAACAAACGCCAGCAAAAACGTAACTCCCGCCCTTGATGGAGGCAATAAACTGAGATACAGTGTGTTATCATGTTATACCTTTACAGTATATACTGTAGTAAAAACTATGGGACCCCAAAACAGTTGGTAAAGGATCTAAATAAATAGATCTTTAAAAAAATCCTGGGTTTCCTTACATTTTAAATACTGTTGTCAGACATGTCGCTTAGATCACATCCAGACAGCCTGTTTTAGTATTTAAAGAAGAACAGATACATTCTAGTAATACCCTTAAGCAGGGTAATATTAAATGTCACATTCATAACTGGATGCACTGGAGGGGGTGGGGACAAAGGGAGAGCCACCAATGATTTGGGCAATTTGCTGGTCATGGGAACTGCTCCAGTTTGGGCCTCCATCGTTCCTATTTTCTTTTTGTCTATTCCTACTTCTTCCCTCTCGAACCATTTTGGGGACTGACAAATGTGGCATGCCAGATTTTCCTTGGGTCGTAGCCTGTGATACAAATCATTACTTGACACTTGGAAACATTCCCTTGCGGGCCTGCATCTAAAATACCAAAAGAATAGCAGCAACCGGCTTTGACCCTGAAACAGAACATGACCTCAGTGTACACAGCTGCTTGTCATCTCAACTCCTGCCTTTTCTTTTAGACTTGTATGTTCCAGTCAAGATAAAATGACAGTAATTGAGAGAAAGCCCCCAGTATCTGTTGGAAGAAAAAGCTAATGTCAGTACTCTTTTGTAGGCCTTTATAAGGAATGCCTCCTTATAAAATTAAACTGTGTCTGGAGCACAAGTTGCTACATTTCGCGCCAGCTAGAAAAGAGTCTCAACATTTTGTACTAAAGCAAATTGTTCCAAACTTGCAAGACTTCATACTTTTGGCCAGATAAAACAGAAGAAGGCAACAGTTCCCAGTAATGACAACAGTCATCGAGCCAAGCAGAAGGAAAGGAGTAAGACCTAGACAGCCTAACTGCACTTTGTGTGTATGTTTGTTTGTGGATACCGATGAGTGAGAAAAACCCAGTGTACTGTTGCTGCTCAGAAAAAGACAACTTTGCTTGGTTAAATGTTGAGTATAGAAAGGCAGAACTGTGTTTTTCTAAGTATTCTTGCACTGGGTGAAGCAGAGCCACGCCAATCCCCCATAAGGATGAACCCAACTGAACTTTCTTACTGTGAAGCGAGATGTGAGGAAGGCCTGTGTATGGGGTATAGTGTCTCAGGGATTGGGATTTGGGTGCATTGAAAATGACTGCTTTTACATGAATATTCTGGCACATATGCTCACACTGTGTCCTGATAGCTAGAAGCCTGAATCACACAATTATGACTCCAGATTCATGATAGAGTCCAGTATAGCTGTCACCACAATACAGTACAACCACCAGGTTCAGTGTGTATCTCCTCTGAGACCAGTTTACCCTTGTGAGGGTGAGGGAGAGGGAAGGGGGGAATGGAAACTATTTGGACGATGTGATCCAAACAAAAGGCCCGAGCAATGAGGAAATCCATGTTGTAACCATTCATTCACAAAAAAGCCAGGAATGAGCAGAGCAGATGGCACAAATAAAGTGTTTGTCTGCTCTTCTTTCCATATTTCCATCCAATTTAATGTTGTTTATAATGACACACTCATTGCTCTTCATGGATGTAACAACAGAACTGAAGTGATAATTAGTTCACCAAGTTCACAAATAACTTAATATGCACCATTGTGAATGGGGCATTGAGAGATGTATGGAATGGAATCATAGTCTCTAATTAACAGTTTGTAAGTGACAGATGCCTTGCTCCTTGTGACGTGCACTCCACATACAGAGACCCATAACTGTGAACATATAGATGAAAATGCATACATGCAAACCATCGCACACGGTGGCACTTGCAGACCTCACACTCTCACTGCCCTCACACATACAAGCAGCATTTGTGTTCCATTAAGCCCTGAGCACAAAGCCTGAACTCTGCAGTCAGACATCTTTGATGTAAGTCACGGCAGAGAAACATTGTTTGGCTTCATAATAAAAACAATATTCCAACTTACATTTTCTAATTATGTCTCAGCTTTCAATAGCACCCTTCTCCCCATCATCCTCCACTCCTGGACTATAAATATGCCACAACTCTGAAGGCAGCAATAAAAACCTTGATCAGAATCAGATGGAGACACACATGAGCAGGGTAACATCATAGCTCTGAGCCCTGTGGAAAGTCTTATCGCAGACCTTGGTGCAAACCCATTTTTGACTCTCTAAAATATATTTTTTAAACGTACCATGTAATAAACATATATATGAAAACAACTGGCAGTCAGGATCAAGACTGCCATCTACAGCTGAAAACAAAAATGTTAATCACAAAAGAATTAAGTAACAGAGATGTGCCTGTACAAGACAACTGCAGAGGAACAGCTATTATAGAAACAAACATAAGTTAACATGAATGATGGGATAATGTGGTAGGTAGTACTGTGCAAGCAATTCACTTCTCTGAGCTCAAAGGAGATCGCTGTCAGTTAGCAGGACAAAATACTGAAAAGACAAAGCCTTAGGACCTAATCAGAAGCAAGAGGTTTATATGCAGCTGATGACCAGCTAATAGCACTTCAACTTAAATTTCACAACAGTGTAGAAAGAAAAAATTGGCTCATTTTCTCTCGCCTTCTGTATCATATACAAAACAAAACCCATTACTGTAACACATGGAGACAGTTCTCAATCAAGAAATACAAAATGTCCACAAACAGCGGGTCCATACACAGACATTATAACTTATCCACCAGACAAATGGGCTTTATTCTGTGGATTCTTATAATTCCTGTCTTCATCAAATCTCCACTGTCACTCTGAATCAGTGAGATTGGGTAAAGCTCTCTTCTTCTCTCTCCTGTTTCAGGAGTGGGTCAGCCTGCAAACCCATGCAGGGGGGTCCTACAGAATAGATGTTTTACACTGAGAAGCTTTGATACCATTTGATATAATCAAAATGTGGGTGTATGTGACATGAATTCCCAAAATAATACACAGTGGCAAACAAAACATAATATGTTTTTCATATGTGTATTTTCTGAATGTATGCACAAAAGCAGAT